TTACTTTCTTAGTTTCATCAGCAATTCTTATCATCGTTCATGCTTTAATTACATCCAGCCGTTGTGATTTATGATAACCTCCGCCAGTTCATGACCGAAATATTCTTGAAATTAATAAAAAACTAGCGGACCTTGTAAATGTCGGATAGTAATGATGTGTAATATCTGAAGGTCAAATCTCTGAATAAAAGCTGGGTCAAAATTTAGTTGCTGATCAACTCTCTATCTCACAACTGTCATAAAAGGTATTTTCGTAGTAAAGCTTTAAACATCCAACGTTGAATGTGATGTCATAATGACGTATTGTGACCGAAATTGAATCGGTAATCTACTAGTCTTAGTAACACTTTACTATTTTACTAAGAAAATACCTTTTATGACAGTTGCGAGATCGGACTTGATCGCATTTTTATTACGAGAATTGGCATTCCGATATCTAGCCCCACTCGTTATCATTGATCAAATCAAATATCGCGTACTTCATAATGCACATTGCCGTCCCCTTTACAAAAAAAAACACCATCACAGATTAGAGGAAGGTAAGAGAAAAGATGGTACACATAAAAAAATAATGATTTACCAGCTATCTTTGCAGCACAAGAACACTGTATCTTAAAATGGACGCGGCGTATCTTACAGAACATGCTAACGGTTACAAAGTAACACATTAAATTTAAAATAAACGACATTGAAGATATAATTATATGATGATGATTCTATATTTTATTACAATAAACATTAAACAATTTTAAATATAAACAAACGAAAATACAGGTACATACACACAAAAGACCTATTTAGCGTTCCATGGATTCACCGTGCAGGTACCGGGTCCATCGCGTGTTTCCACCAAACCTCAACAACCCAGGTAGACGATATTGAAGTTGTCAGACTTTTTAACGATTACCTCAGATGTTCGTATGGCTGAAGAGACTGAGGGCTTAACGTGCTCTCCGAGGCACGGAGAAGTCTCAATGTGTTAAAAAATAGTCACCCATCCATAGGCTGACCTGGCTATGATTGCTTAACTTTGCAATGCGTTAACCTACTCGGTTACGACTTGCTTGTCATCCTTAGGTAAAATTATTTGAACATTCCTCATTCACAAGAAGAATAATATAGTACCATATATATATATATTTATGATTCTTCTTGTACCGTACCGGAGTACCGTATCCGTACCGTAGGTTAACGCATTGCAAAGTTAAGCAATCCTAGGCAGGTCAATCTTTGGATGGGTGACCATTTTTTAACACATTGAGACTCCTTACTTTAATAACAGTTTTTATATTTTATTATTACATAGGTAGTAATCTGAAATTAATAAATAATATTTCCCTCCTCTTATAGCTTTATGTGAGTGCAACTTTATTCAGGCGGAATTGAGGTCCTCCTTGTTCTAAATGCTCGTCCATAATGCTAATGTCAAATGAGGAAAACAATGCAGTTATCATTCGCATTGCATCATTTTAAGATTTGTTTTGAAATCAGGTTTAGTTTTTATTGTGACAATAGTTATAGACCATAAATAAAGATGAACGGCAGATCCGGTACACTTCATAATATACGGTGGAAGTTTATGAGATTTGTACTGTTCATAAAGTGAATTATCCTATTTTCATGTAATTATCATATTGTTTTAACTTTGCTAAAAGTATTTAATTCTTCTCAAAAAACGCTACAACTGCAATAACAAAACGTTCAAGTGTTTCTTTAACAAGACGCGTTCCCACGTTTGTTAAACTAACCTACCTAACTAAGGAACTGATAAGAATATAAGTAAACATACTTTGAGAACTTAGGACACTGATTTCATATCCTTTTGCTTTTGAATGAAGTCGCGTAATGCAGCTAATACCTAACCAGCAATTACACAATAAGTTATGATGGCCCTAATGATAACTCGGTACTCATTTTGAAGCTTGTTAAGTATATTCATTTTAGTTTTATAGACGTAGGAAGACGTTTATATTCTTTTTTTTTAAATTTCTTGTTATAAAGATATTTTTATCCGATTATCGCATGAAACATATAAAGCTAATGATGTGTCCTCATTTCGCCGACAGAACCTAAACTTGAGAGCAATAAAATTGTACACACTATTTACTTCACGCAATTTTTTTCAAAAATATGAATATATATTGAAATAAAATCGCTAAGTGAAGGTTTATTTCAGTATCTTTCTAATAATATTTATTTATTAGGCTTACCAACAACTACTTATGCTAATACAAGTTTGTTTTACATTACAAAGCTACATGCACAAATTACAGCTGATAAAGTGAAGTTATGCAATTACAAAAAAAACATACTTTAAAACAAAAATGGTAATTTGCACATTAGGTTCCCCCAAAAAAACTGATACAACAATTAATTGTTTGATAAATAATTACAAGTACAGTATACACATTACAACACACTCATAATACCTTTGCGGAATGTGGCAAGCGAGTCCGCGTGCACATCACACAAAGACGAGGTATAGCTGAGTTAGCACCAAGTACTACGAAGTGGCGGATACAACGGGGTTATGGGTGCACGAGGATTTCTAACGGGAGTACGAAATTTAATTATGCCTAAAACTTCAGGGCAATCGATTTTATTTCGTAATAACTTAAACATAAACATAGCGTCAACTATAATATCACGTTTCTGCAACGAAGTCATTTTAAAATGTGCCTATCTGCTATCATACGTCTTTGTTTTGTGAGCTATTCCTGCGCTATATCATACAGTGTACAGAATACTCATTTGAGGTTTTAGGGCACAAAACTAAATATACCTACCCGTAAATTACCAAATTTATCTTCACAGATAATAAAATTCATGGATTTTGTTCCCAGAACTATACCATTCCAAAAAAATTGTTATAATATGTGTTTCAAAATATTTGAAATTTAAAAGGAAATTGAAAATATGGCTTTTGGAAAAAATGATATACTCAGTGACCGAATACCTAAACGAGCGATAAATACAAAAGCACCTGATAATATTTTATTGTATGTTGTGTTCTATATTAGAAATAAATTATCGGATTAAAAAATTTGACATTGCAATTATATATTTGACATTATGTAAATTGTTTATTGACATGAGCTTAGTAGTTTGTTATTAAATCAATCTTTTGTTGTAATATGCATGTACGTTTCAAATTTTGCATGTCAGAACAGACTGACGAAATATGTGATTCTCTCCTATTAACTATAAACAGCCCATGTACCATATTTCTGCAATTAAAGTATCATTTCATTTCAAAATTGTTGCTTAAATTTTCTATTAATAAAGTGTATTCTCTGCCATTACGAGGGTGGTCTGAAAAGTTTCCGACCTAACAAAGATACAAGACCTTTTTGAGATTTCTTTTTTTATTTTTCAACATAGCCTACTTGTAACTCTACACACTTCTCCCAGGGATGCTCCTGTAACCCGTCCAAATAGTACTCGGCGTTTTTATCTGCAAAATAATTGTTCACGACGGTGATTGCCTTTTCATTTGACGAAAATCTCTGTCCTCCGAGCGTAATTTTTCACTTGGGGCTAGATCTGATGAGTAAGGCAGATGGGAGACAGTTCAAACCGTAATTTGTTTATTTTCGCCATAGCAACCGCTGAGGTGTGAGACGGTGCGTTGTCTTGGTGAAACAATATTTTCTTTTTCTGCAAATGTTGCCGTTGTTCCGCAAGTTCAGCCTGCTTGTCAAGTAATAATGCGTAGTATGCTCCTGTAATGGTTTTTGCTTTTTGGAGATAATTGATTAAAATAACTCCATGACTATCCCAAAAACAGCCGCCATCACTTTCCCAGCCGAAAAAAAACAAAATTTTTGCCGTTTTTGAAGCCGGTTCCCCTTTACAGTACACTGTTTGGAAACTCAGATTTATTGCGGCTAAACTGCACCAAAAAAGCGTTGGAAATGTTCATTCGAACACGTTTTTGGTCTAACGTGAGCAAAAGCAGCACCCAACGCGCGGACAGCTTTCTCATGTCTAAATGTTGATTTAACATGTTACAAACACGTTCTTTTGGCATGTTCTTAACCTCTCCTATCTCTCTCACTTTAATTCGGCGGTCGTCTAGCACAATTTGGTGCACTTTGGCGATGTTTTCGTCGGTTGTTGCAGTTTTTAGACGTCTTCAGCGCTCATCGTCTCCCAAGCTCTTACGGCCATGTTTAAATTCAGAACCCCAAAATTTCACTGTGGTAAATGATGGTGCAGAGTCCCCATACACCGGAATCCAACTCATCTTTGATCACGCGTAGGCGTATTGCCTTTCAAAAACAAATATTTAATGACAGCTTGATACTCGATTTTGTCAATTTTCATAAAAACACTCACATCAACTCACTCAAACGACTGTTACATAACAACTGCGTGTCCAAAATAGCTAAAACTTTGGCGAGTTACTGTCAACAGATTAACAACGACATTCACTAGCTTTTATTCACGAGTGTTGCCATCTTCGTGTTGAGGTCGGAAACTTTTCAGACCACCTGTGTAATTAGTTGAAGCTCTTAATCGATTGCTGAAGCTTTTGGGCCGCGGGGCAGGGCAGATATGCTCAATCGGATTGAGATCAGAACTACGACCTTGCAACTCCATCGCGATAATTTCAATTCCATCGTCGCTATTTTTTCTAGCGGAGAGGATAAAATCTTCTTCCATAAGCCACGCAAGGAGCCTTACATGTCCTACGAGAAATTTTTCTACGTTTCGTGCTGCCGTCAACCCTCTCGATCTCGGGTCGATGTTCGCCCCAGTGACGAATACAATGTCTGTTTTAATGTTTAACATTATGTCACCACAAAACCTACACGATCTGGCTCTAAAAACGACACTGCAGCACTAGAGCATTTTCATTAATCAGAGAACATAACAGGCTGCCACTATTCATACGTCCAACTTAAATGATCCCTGGCAAATTTGACCATTTTCTGGTCGATGTGCTGTCAGTTCTACTGACAGTTTCATAATTATCTAAATGTACTTGATTGTTACAGCTAAGAAGACAATTCTAAAAGGCGTGTCTGGATTATTTAAATCCGGTCAACTGACCGCTATAATGGGACCTTCCGGAGCTGGCAAATCTTCACTCATGAACGCGCTAACAGGGTTCTCGTAAGTACAAATAAATACCATTTATCTGAATCTTTTAAATATTTTTTATTTTATCGCTTTAAGCTATAGCTATTGTAATTTATAGTAAGTCCGTAAAAAGGCATTCAGGATATGGCATGTTTACAGTTAATCGTATTTACACATCTTTTCAGAAATAAAAACTTGTCCTGTTAGTATTTTGATTGAAGTATGTAAATTGATGCCCTTGAGACTTTACACAAAAACAGTGTTACTTAACTAAAATCAACACATACACACCAGTTTTTAGTTTTATTGTATATTACTTAAACAAAGTGAATGAGAATCATTGTACAGAAAGTGCAAATTATCCAGTATTCAATCCAATATTTAATTAGATGTTAATCAATAAATTAAGTTAGAACTTACAATAAAAGTATTTCGTTTTACAGAACACAAGGAGTGACAGGACGCATACGTGCAGGTGACAGCATATGTGAACTCAATTCGAACAATAGCATGCACAGCCTCAAATACTACAGAAAAAAATCATGCTATATTATGCAGGACGATAGACTAAATCCTCTTTTTACTGTAATAGAGCTCATGAAGTTTGCAGCTGACATGAAGCTAGGAGATACCTTGACTGAGAAATTAAAGATGAGCGTGGTGAGTATTAACGAACTGTATTTAATGATCAAGATTATTAAAAGCGTTAAGGTGCGTGTAGCAAGTTACAAGTATTTCTAAAACTGTTGTTGACTCGACTTTAATAACAACTCGTCCGTTATAACGTAGTAATCTTGCTACCATCCAACTAAAAAAAAAAACCGTCATTTCCGCTAACCTTAACCATTCCTACTGTTTCTGCTTTTTGTTTTTCATATATTTGATATGTCTTGTTGAAATTAGTCATGAGTAATCCATGTCTTAATTAATCAAAATTTTCAAAACAACTTTTTCAAAAATTATTATGAACAATCTTATGTTTGCTTCTATTTATTTTGTTGTAGATAACAGAGATACTGCAGACTCTTGGATTGACAGGATCAGAAAACACAAGATGTTGCAATCTTTCAGGAGGACAAAGAAAAAGGTTATCGATTGCCGTGGAACTGATCGATAACCCTCCAGTTTTGTTCCTGGACGAACCAACAACGTGAGTTTAAGTTACATAAAAAAAAAAATATTTTACTTTTAGTTTCCTCTACACAAGCCTACTTTCCTTTACCTTTCCTTTGTGTATGTTTTTACTCGTTTTTAAGACTAAAATAAATGTAGTACTTTCTACTTTCTTCATATTAGTAAATTTTGCGTTACGTGTTGCGGTGCGTTCTTTGGAATAAAACGATTCGCACGAATATCCAAAGTGGCATTTATATCAATATCAAATATGTTTAGGTAGAAGGGGTAACACATCAGACAGTGAAGGTAAGCGCTAACGCGCCGCAAGGAGAAACCTACTCCTGATCCCCAGGCGCTTTGTCGCAGTCACATGTTTTGCCCCATCTATCGCGCGATTTACCAGGCACCCATGGAAAGCTTAGAAATAGTTCCTTGTGATGTCTTTAAAGACTTTAATTACCAACACACTTCAAAAATTCCAATTAACACTTAAATAACAGTCCAAAATGAACGCTGGGTTCTATCGCGAACGTCAAAGTCGCTGGGTTCTATCCGCTTTGATCACTTCAATGTTTTTTGCACTGTAGATCAAACTGAAGTGTCCTACTGCCTTTTTTTGTGATGTATTTTTGTCCCCCGAAGACGTGCCTGTATTTATACCACACATTAGTCCGCTAGAAAGTTTACTTTTTACCCTTAAGCCTTTTTAGGAAACGATAGGTCGTTTTAAATATAAACAACAACGGTCGACAATTAGCATAGAGTAATAAAGTTCATAGTACCGTGTCGTATTAAGCACAGTATAATTGTGTATGAGCACGATTATTTGTTTTATGTCTGGCTGCTTTTTATCTATAATATGTAGGTATTTAGAAATATATGTTTATTTATTAGCAGTCTGATTACCATGGCACTAGCGACGTATTTTGAACAGAGTGTAGAGTTTGTGAAGTTAGGGCTTGTAGAGTTAAGGCGTCTTTTTTTTTTTTTTTTTTGTTGACGGGGTGGAAAATCCCTTCGGATCTCCGACTCCTCGGGGACTCAGGAGCCAGGAGTATGTGGTGATTCCACTAAAAACCACCCCGACGGCCGGCCTTAGGTGTCCTACTCTGGGGAGGACCCGGACCATGTTATTTCAGGACCTCCCCGAATTGACACCATGCCTAATCAGGCCCTATCCCAGGGGACAACACTTCCCCCTTCAATCGCGGCATGGCGGCCCGATCGCATCTTAATGCAATCAGGCCGGCCATTCCATTCCCTACCGCAGCAATCAATCTGCCACCAGAGGTCCCCACTCTCTGGCGGCCCGCGGCCCCGTCGACGGCTGATATCGCCGCCGACGTCTTCTACGTTCGGGATCGGCCCTCTCCCGATCCCGGAGTCCCAATCGGCTGCGCAGTGCTGGCATTGTGCCGTCTCCTCGCGTCCAATCCGATTCAGGTACTCCCCGAAGCAACCATGCCCAGTGAGTACCTGCGTCAGTCGGTAGGTAACGCAAAAAGTTAAGGCGTCTAGAGTTAAAAGTTTGGCTCTACGTGAAATCTGATAACTTATTGACAGTGTGAGACATATTATGGTCTTTTCTTGCCAAGATTTTATATGAAAATGTTTTTGGCGGCATAATAGTTTTGAATAATATCAGAGTCTGAATAAAACGCCCTATTATGTCAGTTATTTATCATTTCTGTATAGTTGAAAGAGCTGTATTCTAGTACTTTTGTTTTTTTACACGTTTAAACAGATAAAACTCGGATAGGTAGTTTTTATTAATCACTTATAAGCAGAGGTCGATTTTAATAGTGCCTTTAAGATTCCGATATTTACAAAGCACTATGGCATATTTCAAGTTTTAAGAACCATGGTATAAAATTGGTATATGTATGAAATTGGTATATTGTCAACACTTTTGATTTAGGGATACGTTCATACCGTTTTTCGAAAACCTTACCATAGTTATGTGTCATGGATCAAACTCCGGTGTTTGGAGTACACACTCTGAAGGCTAATTCTCTGAAAAAAAGTTCGGTCACAACTCAGTTTCGATCAACTCTCGATCTCACAACTGTCTTAATATTTAATTTAAAAAAAATGAACAAGTTATCTCGAAAACGCTTACTGCATGAAGATAAATAAGTATGCATAATTAATGACAGACTGCAATTAAGTTGTTAAATTACCCGAAATTAAACGTAGTTCCTATCGTAAGTTTATTATGATAACACGAGTTATTATAAATTTGCTATTTAAGCTAGTATAAGTACACAAACAACAAAAAATCGAAAACTTTGGTACTTTAAACCCTCCACCCAACCCCTTAAACTAGCGTGTAAGTTTGTATGACACTTCTGCAATTATTAAAACTAGAAGTCTGAAAATAGGCAAAGATGGAATATGAAAAAAAGCACTTCTGATGTGCAAGAAATACACCCCAAAAAAGTAGAAGAAAAATAATTAAAGAAGAATTAACAACTTACAAAAAGAATTGAAATAAATCACTGTTCATTACTTTTCTACTATACAATAGTTCTTGTAGTAAAGAAACGGTGAGATATTATATTTGCTGATTACTATGATCGCCTGGTATTTGGTTGGGTTTACCTACAAACCAAATACCATTAACAAGGATTTTATGAATTTTAGGTCTTTGTTAACTTCGTCAAGGGCCTACGTTATGTCCACCCTTACCTGTAAAACAGGTGCAGATCATCAGCATATGGGTGATACACACAATAATGTTGTTGAGATAGTTTAATAAATATTGAGAATAAAAGAGGAGATAAAATTAATAGGGAGCATATAGGTCGTACCCACTAGATGGCGTCCCTAAAGATAAGTATGTATTTATATACTTTTATGGTGTATTCATCTAATACCTTTAAACGAGCAATTCTTGTATATATGTACAATATGAATCTCGGCAACGGCTTTCTGGGTTTCGAGGACGATTAATCAATTTAGCTAGGTTTCATTTTAAGAAAATTTACCAAAAAAAAAAATACCGAGCAAAGCTCATCCAGGTACTGTATTATTATTTATGTACTTATGAGTACTATTTTTATGTACTATATGACAGGTTTGTGTATATTATATGAATACATAAAGTATACATACATCTAAAATTAACTGTAACCATAACGCACCTACTTCCTGTTTTCTCTGCATCACCCAAAAGTTGACTGGTAGAGAATGCCTTAGGCCGCCAATGCACCAAATGTGCATGAAGTGTAAAACTATTCCAGTGATTCTGAGGGAATCATAAGATATGTAACGATGGATAGTAGGATTTAGTGATAGTATTAAGGGCTTTAGAGAAGTCAACATAGTACTATGACTTTTAGACTAATACGACAACTTTATAGTCTTCCGTGCCTTTCCTGATTTTATGCCGTGCAATGCCGCTATTGGCGATACAGTAACTTTAACGTCAGAAGCTAGACTGTAGGAGACTTAGAAGTTTATGTCAGTGTATAAGTTGTGAGAGCTGCTTGATTGAAAGGTAAGAATAGAAGAAATAGATCGAAAGTGTACAGGAAGTGAAGGATTTATTATACGCTTTATATTAGCTTCACTTGTATGTTTGTTTGTATGTTTGTAACCGACTCCTTTGGGCGTGATTTTGACTGACTTTAAACGGTCAGAATTCGTTCAAACTTTGTAGATATATCGAGGACCGATGACAATACACTGATTTAAAAATAAAAAAATAAAAAATGGTTTTAAATAAATTGTTGGGTACCTGTTGTCATTAGTCAATGCACCCCACGCTTTTTTTCAAATTTTCTATTTTTTAGTTTGGTTTTCTATAGAAAGCGTGTTTTTTAGTTTTTTAAAACTATAATTTTTTTTGGAAGAAGACTGATGTAAGCCTTACGAAAGGGGATGGATAGGAGAGTAGAGGGAAAGTTATTTATATAAGTAATTACTAAGACAATGTAGTCCGAGTCTTATAATGGTATTACCCATCACAACCATGTGATGGCTAATGTCATGATAGCCCACAGCATTAGAGCGGATAGATATGATAATATTTTTGATGTCCTCAAAAGACACCGACAAAAACCAAATGAATCTGAGGGACTAGTTAGTATAATAAATTATTTAAAAAATAATTACCTCACACACCGTCGTCGGATTCATTCTAAAGTAACAGAGCCAGTACTATGCATTGCTCAATTTTTAACAATACATATAAATTGCAGATAAATTACACCTAGACACAGAACAAATGATCTTACCACGAAATTAATTGTCTTGGGTCAATAACCACTAAAGTAAAAAAATAACAGCTACTTAAATTCTGTTTAAGAAGCTAAGTGAATTACGTAATTTAAGTAAAATAATGTAATAACAAATTACTATTCGGTCGTGACCTTCTATATAATTAAATATAGTTTAAAGCAGCAATCAATTTTATTCTTGAGATGCGATAAGTTTAGTACTGTATGCTAAGTTAAGTAGTATCGCAATTGCTTAAAACTTACGAAATGATGGCAAACAGTAAAATAATTAAATTACCTGAACCAACAAGTTCAAGTTTTCTAATTTGTTTTGGCCGGATACCGAACATTCGAAATCACACTTAATCTATCTCGACTCTGTAATTAACTTGGCCTTTCGAATTGATTCCTGAACCTTAATTTAGTACTTAAGTATTTGTTTACATTTACATGAACAACTGGTTTGAGATCCTAAATTGCAAAGCTCCATTTCTAATAAAAACAAAAAAAAAAAGTGCCTCTTTTCAGGGTTCCGTACCTCAAAAGGAAAAAACGGAACCCTTAAATGTAGGATCACTTTGTTGTCCGTCCGTCCGTTCGTCTGTCCCGGGAACGCGTGGAGGCATCGAGTTAAAATTAAAACGATATACTTACGTCTACAGTCTCTTGAAGTTGTGAAAAAAACAATTCTAAGTTACTGAAAAAAAGATACGGCCGTTAAAAAAAACGTATATTTCAACACTCTCAAGGGATTCAAAATTTATAGGGTATTTCCGTTGACCTAGAACCATGAAATTTGGCATTTAATACCGTCTTATACTCGTACTACAAGTATGGGAATAAATCTGAAAACCATACATTTTTAATTAAATCCTGTAAACCGACAAATTTGTACGGAACCCTCGATGGGCAAGTCTTTTTTTAAATATGGTATTTTAACAAATAATTACAAACAACTTTTATATAATTAAAAAAAAATGTTTAACTGAAAACATTTTTTTTTATTTATTTAAAAGTTGTTTATTGTAACTTAAATATATTGTGTTCAAAATTGCCAATGTATAAATAAATTTGATATTAAATCATACATGCCGTACAATTAAAACATTCTAATGCTTTTATTTTGAACCACAAAATAATAATTGAATTTCAAATTAAATGAAAACAGCTTAAGTATTTTTTTCAAAAAAGAAAAGAAAGAAAGAGTCAAAATATTATATTTAGTGAGTACCGTTTTTAGGTTAGGACATGTTACAGTCACCCGTAGGTATGAGCAAAAACGATATACTAAATTATATATTAAATAAGATATATTAAATAAGTACCGACACTTTTTAGATTCAAATTGAAGGTAAAAAATGGTACAGCAATCCTGTAGCTTTTCACTGTTTCATACACAAAATGTATTATTATGGAGTTAAATGCAGATTTTTATTGTACAGTGGGCTGGACAGCAGAACATCGTCTCAGTGTATGAACTTGCTGAAAAGCCTAGCTCGAAACGGACGTACGATCATCTGCACCATACATCAGCCACCTGCTTCTGTATATGCCTTGTTTGATCAGGTAAGTGTAAGAAGAACAATGTCATTTAAGATTTAGTCAAAATTGAAGTGCCATATTTAATGTGTATCTACGGTCTGCTAATTTTTTTTTTAAATGAACTAGTGAAATAATGTCATTCTTTTATTACTTACTTAAGAAACGTCATGTTGAAACTGTTGAAAAGTTTGTTTTGTTTACCCTCAGGTGTATATACTAGCAGAAGGCATGTGCATATATTGTGGCCCTAGCGAAGAAACTGTACCGTATTTAGCAGGAGTTGGTCTACAGTGTCCCAAATACCACAACCCAGCTGATTACAGTAAGTAAAACCACCATCATAAAATGGTGTTAGCTCATGTTAATTTGAAAGCGACACATATCGATAGGAAACAATATCAATTCTTTATAGGAAAATAAGCATACTAAGCGCCAAATAGCTCTGCACCTGTTGTTTTTGTGGGTACAGGGAAGTGGTCCAACTGCTCTGTTCAACTAGTTGGACTACGGGTCTTTACTAGGGGGTCGTGGTCGAACTATTTCAGAAGTTGGGGGACTAACGACTCCCTCTCTTAGGACGTGGTCCAAATTTTTAAGTTTATTATAATTTCGGATAATATTACTGAGGGCCGTGCTTTAGATAAATTTTGGTAAAACTACAATATAAACCTTTACCTTTTGTATTATTAACGGTAATAGGTACAAGAACGGTAATAACTCCTCACACATCTCCATTGTAATTTTATTAAGTTGGCTTGTCTATCTAGTATAGTGTGTATTACTTTTCTGTAAATTTAGTTTAAATTTAATAAAGAATAAAAAAATCAATTAAATCAGGAAAAATGGAACATTAGTTCCATTTTTCAGACAAGAGCACAATTTGGCATTAATTTACAAACAATCGGTCACAATTGTTTTAAAGTGAACTTGATGTTACTTCTAATAAACAAAAATGCTTAATTAGTTGCCAAAATTCTCTTTCGTCGCATTCGCTTGAGAAAGTTCTTTTAAATCTGATAAAGTTACATCTGTGATTGATGTCAGACCATATTCATTGCTTCTAAATGCACCTAAAATAGCAAGTATTCGGCACTTCGCTTATAGCCATCGTTCCTATACATCGCCTGCCTGGCCTCCTACGGCAAACTTTTTTCTCTTTTGAAAGGATCGTGGCAAATACAAAAATAATAACTATAATTAATTCAAAAATACAATACAACAAATACAAAAATAATAAATACTATTAGTGACAGGTTTTTTTTCCCAAATTATTCTGAAGTCGGCTTTAAGTCTACTATGATACGGCTGAACTTCGATTTTTTACGATAAGCGACTGCGATAAGACCTCCGCAACCCAAGTACTAAGCGATATCGAAGTTCTGTAGAAAGACTGTTGTTGAGGTTTTTTAGGGCTCATCTACCCGTAACAATTGCCACAGATGTTCGTATGGCAACCGGGATCAACCGACCGACCACGACCTGAGGGGTCTCAATATGTTATGAATGGTCAGTAAACCAAAGACTGACCTGGCTGGGATTGCTTAACTTTGCAATATGTTAAACTACTCGATTACCACTTAGCCACTAGCCGCCTTGTATTTTATTGGTTTACATAAAAATATGAACGTGTGTATGTTCCTTACAGTTCTGGAAATAGCAACGGGTGAATATGGCAATTTCAACGAAATCTTAGCAGAAACATGTTTCAACAGCGACACACGGAAAACCGTAACCATACCTCCTGCCAGTGATAAGAAAAGCGAAGCAATTTCTTTAGGAAAAACGTCAGTTATAATCAACCCACCTGATGAGTTATACAAGTTTGGGAAACTGTTTAAAAGATGCATTTTACATCAATATAGAGACTGGGTAAGTTACTGTTTTCTTATTCTAAACTTCAAATGTAAGGCCAGTCGTAGAAACAGCAAATTACATTAGAACCCTATATTAACATCTTTCTATTTAAAAAAAAAAAAACAACTAAACTATCCTCCGGTATTCCTTAATGATTTTCATACGTGTCCACTATTAATGTCCAGGCTCTATTTATCATATCAATTATATTTATAATTAAGTACGACTGTTGTGAAGGTTTTTGTTGAGCCTTCCTTTACAAATTCGATGTTAGTTCTTAGGTTTTGACGACGTTTTGGCAACGTGAATAATAACCCCGGCCTAATAGCGCCGCATTTTTTATCATTTTATACAAATAAAATGTTATGTATCTCAAAAAAATATTCCGTTTAGCAAATTGTTACTTCATGCAAGGCAAGAATAAAAACTATAAAAAGATTGTTATTACTTCATTATGTATAATTTATTGCTGTATATTTAAGTTATAACGTATTTGCCTAACTTGGTCCGAACTCATTAAATCTTTTTATCATCTGAAGAAAATCTGCTGATCATTATTTTTATGACTTGATTCACTGTGTACTAAATCTTTAAGGACAGTGGAATCCGTTTATTAAAAAAGGTTTAAATTTGTTTTCTCATTTATTCATCGCAGTAGACTAAACATAATTAGTTCAATGAGTTAATCAATCAATAGTAAATAGTCTGTTGGTCTAGTGGTTAGTAACCCTGACTGCTAAGCCATAGGACGTAGTTTTGATTCCCACCCAAGACAAATAATTGTGTAATGAGCACGATCATTTGTTGTATCAGGGTGTAATTTATCTATAATATGTATGTATTTAGAAATATATATGTATGTTTATCAGCAGACTGGTTACCATAGCACAGCCTCTACCTACTTTGAAACCAGACGGCCGTGTGTGAGATGTGTCATTAATATTATTAATTCTTCTGTTCCCCAGTTGTATAGTCAAGGGCACAATGCACAAAGTCACAAAGACAGCTGTTACACTATGCTGTCACAGATAAGATAGTAGCTTTGACCCAGCATGGCCATTTGTTCCTTGATCCACATGTTTTTAGTGTTAACACTACATTAAAAATAAAATCCCTTTGCCGTGACTGTCTGAACACGATAACCTGAAAAAGTACCCCTTTTTTGCTATGTTTTTATTTAGTGGCCCTATTTATTTAATAAAATTGCCCGCGGTTCTGCCGGCGTGCATGTCGGTTATCGCGTTAAAAAGTAGCCTGTGTTACTCGCTGAAAATGTGGTTTAAGTGTGAAAGCGTAACAAATAAAGAAACTCACTTTCACATCTATATATATATATATATATATATAAAAGAAGCAACTGACAGACTGATTCACTGACTGATCGGTCAACGCACAGCTGAAACCGCTGGGTCTAAAAACATGAAACTTTGCATAAATGGTGACGTAGGTGTGCACCAAAAAAATATTTTATAAAATTCCAACCCTAAGGGTGCAAAATGGGTGTTATAAATTTATCTGAAAGTTCATTATTTTTGGTAGTAGCGTTTCGTAGAAGTTCGTCATTTTCAAAGTTAGAAATAAGAAACAATAACCCGAGCGAAGCATTGGGCAATAGCTAGTTTATAATATAAACAATACATCAACGACTGTAACAGAGATGCAATTTTGATGGCGGCACTGAAGTTAGCTGCAGGTATGCGCAGGCACCTACAGTCAAATCGACTCGACAGTTGGTTCCTATAGGAATATAATACTGTAGGAATATGCGCGCATGTGCAGTGTACGGATGTAACTAACACACTAAAAGGCATGCGTGTCGTGTGTCGCCCTGCACCCGCGCCTTTATTGTGTCTGCTGCTGTTTATTATTGTGTTCTGCGCATCGAAACGCACGATGTTCCGAGTCGCCATCAAGTTTGTATCGAACAGTGATCATAAACATTTATAAGCAGGTTACCATTTTACGTATTTTATATATTTATAACTAGCTTTTTTATCGCGGTAAAAAGTAGCCTATGTTATTCGCTTATAATGTAGCTTTCCCCTGGGTGGAAGAATTTTTAAAATCGTTTTAAAAATTATTTCACCAATTTTTTTATATTTGATGTTTCAGGTAAGTATACAATAAGCAGAAATATTATGATTATTAATATTTTTATTGCACAATAATGATGACAACATTTTTTCCTACTGCATACTTATAAGTTGACAAGTCAATATAAAACCTGTTGTCTATTTAAAAAAACATAGAGAAACGAACAAATGATCCACACTTGAGTCCTCAGTAACATTAATAAAAAAAAAACAATTACATTTGTTCAAAAATAGCTTGTTACATAATAGTAATTTATATTCATAGACAAAAACAAAGATGGTTGAGATATTATAAACTTTTAAATTCATTGTCAATCACACTTACATCCTTAACAGTGATCTCTTAAGCGGGACCGTCCCGTACCTCAGTTCTCGGGCCTAGTCATCAAGAAAAGATTGAAGCTCATTAATGCTGCACTTTGATGAAATGCAAGGTGTGATGGCTTTGTCTTGCCTCATCAAATATAAGTAATGTAATTAGTAGTGGTAATGCAATTACTCGTAGTAGCTACTAAAAAACAAGATACGTGGCCTTACAGAATATATATCTATGATTTTGATGACCTAATTAACATATTAATTAGAGCAAGTGTTGAATGAAACTTACGTTATTTTAAAGGTGCGTTTTATGGTTGCGAAACAAACTCGGCAATGAATTTTATATTTACTATAGTTGAGTTGTAGCAGTCCATTAGAATGTACAAACGAACGCATTTAATCTTACGAATCTATTTGGTGGTGCAGTGGTAGCGCATGCGACTACTGTGTTATTTGAATAATTTACTATTTATAAAATTAATATTATTTCATTGTATTTTATTGCATTGTTAACGTCATAAGTAATTGAAATTACGATAAACCTCATTATAAACCTGTCATCTGAAACAATTTTGCACCGCGTCCAGGAAACGTTTTTATGTACTGTCGTCCATAATTACGTACCTATTTAACATAACTATGTAAGTTAATATAATTACTAGCTATGTATATAATAATTGAAACTGCTATAAAAAAAAATATAAAAAAACAGCACGATCACGTACATAAAATGGCACTTCTGACAACGATGAACAAAAAACGAAGATGTACGTCATTAACTTTGTTTTATAAATTTTAATATGCACAATATTGATTCGGTGGAATATTTTTCATGAAAATAAAGTTAACCAAGTAGGTATTATAGTTGAACAACAAATGTCTTATGTACAATTCGTTAAGAACCGTATTTTCAACTTTATGAGGTATTTTAACCCATAGAGACCAAGGAGATTTCTTTTGCGATTTATCTAAAGCTTTTAATTGTGTTGTTCATGAAATGCTGATCAGGAAATTACAGCACTGTGGTATCATAACTGAAGCACTGGAACTTCTTGCTTCATATCGTACTAATAGGATTCAGAAAGTTGATGTTAACGGTGAACAATCTTCGGGTTCTGTGGTAGAAATGGGCGTTCCACAAGGTTCTATTCTCGGCCCATTTTTGTTTTTCGTATATATTAACGACTCAACTCACCTTGTGAAGGATAACCACGAGATTGTGATGTTTGCAGATGATACATCACTATCATTTAGACTCAAACGCACACTTACTAATTTCACGGACGTAAACCACGCTATTTCGAAAATTGTTCATTGGTTTGACGTCAACAACTTGCTTTTTAATGAAAAAAATCTAAGTGAATACGGTTGACCACGCCAAACGTCAAGCCTGTGAAAAGATCGGGTCGAAATTACCTTGAGCTTATTTTTATGGTGGCCAAAACATCACACAGGGAATCTGTGGTAATGAAATATATTATACTTTTGCATAATATCATTCTTAATATTAAAAACAAACATTTTTTATGTGAGCAGTAATGAGACGGATACTGCATAGAAAAATTATCTCACATGTTCCATAACACTCTCCAGAGTCGTTAAGTATGGGATAACAAAATGTTTATTTACTTACTTATGAAAGGTGATTCCTGTGATTTTCATATCTGAGTGACTTCTACACCACTCCACGACACATGACTTCATATTTGCGAAATGAAATAGCGCAAAAACACAATAATAAGCACAATGGAAACTTCCCGTAAACTAATACAACCGCTCAACAGGAGTATCACGGTGTACTGATGCGCCGCGCTGGTGCATATTTTACGCCCCATCTGCCGCGGCCTATATTTCGTGAAACCATTTTTAAGACTTCGTTACGCTTCTAGATGTATTATTATTTGTAGGGAAGAACCCTGGCCGATATAATCCATATAAATAAATATCCGTTAAACTACAAGTATATTAAAGAATGAATAAAAAATGTGTTCTTATATGTCACTGGGACAAAAAGTTCTAGACTAGGTATAGTATATAAGTATTTTATAAACATTACAATCGATAGCGATGTGGCACGTCTTACGAACATTAGCCACGAAATCCAGAATCGAACAACCTAACAATTTTGGATTTTTATAAAAACCTAACGCAAGCAATATGTCTTAGCTAACCCCTTAAAAACTGAAAATCCCAGCTAAGTTCCTCCATGGTTTTATCAATTTAAATCACAGTAAATATAGACTGCAATAAGGCCACCCATTGTACCCCTCCTTTTTTTTTTTGTTTATATTCTGCATTGTGTTTTCCTATCCATGGTTTTCAATAAGGAGTACCTATCTATCTATCTAAATATATGACGGGTTTGTATGTATTAGCATATTGCTGTCTCTGGAATAATTTTGGGCGACTTTCTACGCAAGATGTCCCATTCGACTTTATAAAATATAGTTCATCAACTGAATTCAAAGCAATATTCGATCTTATAATGGTCTTAAACATCTGTTTTAGAATCCTTAATCTACGTCAAATATGTTTGTTGCTGTTGGTGGATCTATAAAAACCAAAATGACCTTTGATTGCATAATTTACTAAATTACAATAAAAATCTTGTCAATGATTCTCGAATTAGCATAAAACATGAATATGGGTAATGTCACTTGTCCGGTTATATTAGGTTCTATGATGCACACCAGACCTCGCGGTGTCAGTGTCCGATGAAATGAAGTACTTTATGATACTGTTATGATTTCTATAGCGCAGCAGTAGCAGGATACATTCCCGCTCTTTCAATTATTCACACGCAGGAATAATTTATTGTCGTTTAGGTATTGCTATAATATAAAAGTAACTATCGAGTGTAATTAGGTTTGTACCTCATAACAAAACACCCAGCTATGTATATGGATTGGAATGTTTTATTTAAATTTCTAATGCCCACTGGAACGTCACGGTGATGATTTTTTTTTTCTGTCTATACCGCATACTTTTGCCAGTTATATTAATTTTGAATCCTGAAAATAATCCACACAAAACGTAAACACACACCCATGTTGCCAGTTGCAGGAATAATCATCATCAGCCTATCGCAGTCCACTGCTGGACATAGGCCTCTCCCATTGCACGCCACTTAGATCGATTTTGGGCTTCTCGCATCCAGCTCCTGCCAGCCATCTTGCGCAAATCGTCACTCCACCTGGCCTGTGGGCGTCCTACACTACGTTTGCCGAGACGCGGTCTCCACTCAAGAACTCGTTTTCCCCAACGGTTATCGGTTCTGCGGCTAATATGGCCAGCCCACTGCCACTTCAACTTGCTGATCCGGTACGCTATGTCGGTGACCTTAGTTCTCTGCCGGATCACCTCATTTCTGATGCGATCCCTTAGAGAAACGCCGAGCATAGCCCTTTCCATAGCACGTTGAGCGACTTTGAACTTGTGGACCAGCCGTACCGTAAGTGTCCACGTTTCAGCTCCGTATGTCATGACGGGTAGGACGCACTCATTAAAGACTTTCGTCTTAAGGCACCGTGGGATCGACGATAAGAAGACTCGACGTAGCTTCCCAAACGCTGCCCTGCGCTGCGGAATAATAGGACACATAAATTCATTGACAGAGTATGTAGTGTGTCAGTATGTAGTGAGCCACAAAAGTAATGTAATTACTTTTGTGGCTCTACATTATTTTTCTATGCTGAATGCTTATATTTGTACAAAAGAAATAGATGTATTTATATAGTTCATTCTATTTACTTTTGAGAATAGAATAAGAAAATCTGATTTCAGATGATAATTATTAATTTATGGAAAAATAGTTATAGTAAGATTATTAATTGAAATGTTAAAGAGAATTTTTCATTTCTTTTAATTACATTTTGGAATTAGAATGGATTATTGAAATATAATATTGTTTCCACAGACAGTATCGCAACTAAAAGTGTGTGTACACATAATTATTGGCGTTCTTCTGGGTCTTCTGTATGAACACGCTGGCAGCGATGCGTCAAAGACTTTCAACAACTTAGGCTTCTTGCTGGTGTCTACTGTCTACCTAAGTTATACCTCACTAATGCCTGCTGTGCTCAAAAGTAAGTTTATTACATTTTTTTACTTTAACCACTACCACTACTTTTACCAAACCTGGTTTGAATACTTTTATGATCAATTAAATATTTTTATTTATTGTATTTACAGTACATTACAACTTCTCGAATGACACATTTAACGATTACTGAGTTTTATGTGTGTATTTATTAAACATATATTCTTTACCAAGAAGTAAAGCGCCCTGGGCTAGGTGTTATTTATTAGGGTTAGGCAAATATTACTACATCCTAGGAAGGTTTTAATTTTAATCCATCGTCATTATCGTCTTTATCCTCGGAGCAGTAACACATTCAAAAACGAATTCTATCAGTCCAGTTCTAACAGGGCAGCAGTCAAAAGGTCTAATCCGTTTCACTGAAAGTCTGCCTGAGCTGGAAAAGCCAACAGATCTGATCTGTTTCTTTGCTACTTTTGTTAGCTATTGTTTAGCTGCCACTGATCTGGGCTGATCGAAAAAAGTTCGTGGGCTGTCTTCATTGAATAGTATCAAACAGTGAAAACCACATAAAAAATTTGATATATGACTATATATTATTTATTCAATTCGTATGTATTTTTAAATAAGTAAATTTTAAGTATAGAAACTTCATGAACTCGTTTTTCATTTTATTTTAATAATCAGTTATAATCAGTTATGTTTGAACATTAAGTAGAGATAATACATAAAGACTTTTCCTGTTTGCATTATTTTTCACTATTAGCTGACCAGTCCGACGTTATTATATTGTAGTGTCCAAAGCGCCCAAAGTGTTCAACCTTCTTGTATTTTCTGGGCAACCTTTTATTTTGTTTTTTCATAATTTGGACGTTTCTCTCTCTGTTTGAGTCGGTTCGTCGCTAGTCTTCCTGTGGTCCGTCGTTGCGAGCTTATTCTTTTCACAATATAGATTTCATCGAGTATATAGTATATGTTAAGTACCCTAAGCGGCAATCGGTAGCTTCGATGGGTACAGCCTTATAGTGAAAAGGATTTAGCCAAGTTTAAAGATAAAACTGCTAGAGGTACCTAAACTGCATGAATGATATAAAAATTAATGTTAAAATATATGTTGATTTCAGATATTATTTTATTATTTTATCTTATTTGTTTAACGTTTATTAATTAGTTTAACGTCTAACAAGGTTTTGACTATATTTCAAACCGGTACCGATGACGTACGAGTATATCTTCTATCTTTAGAACATGTAATTATAGTTAATGGGGATATAAGATAATCACTCTAAGGCTGTCGTAAAAATTTAATATTAGTGAACAGTACTGATTTTTTGTTATTACTTAATTTACAGTCTTTCCTTCTGTGTATAGTTTGCGTATAAAAATATGCATTTTTTTTAACTTCATGCAAAACCTGTTTTCAATACAATGTATATAACTCATGCCTGAAACTAATGACTATTGAACATTAAATTATCGCACGCAAAACTTTCTTATATGTAATGACCTGGATGCGATGATTAATTAACTTTGGTGCTTGTAATTATGTAACCCCTATTCGAATAGTAATTATAAAAAAGGTACCGTACTTAATTTAAATAAATTTGCTTACTCTCTAGTAAATTGATCGGGTGCAAAGGAAAATAGTTTCAATTTTAATAAAGGAAAAAGCTCTAATAAGTAATTATTAACAACGTTACTAAAGGTGACGGAAAACTTTAGTAATGTATATCAATGAAGGACGTGAATAGAATCTGAAGAAAGAAAATTAGCACAAACTAATCAGGGTAAATAGATCCGATATAGACTTAAAAGCATCTACGACTTGGCTACTGTATCGTGCGGTGATCCCTTCGCAGAAACTGAAGGTTTTTCTTTATGCGATTATAGACGAAGTTATCATGACGAATTAGAAATATATCCTGAAAGATGATACGGTTGACATTTGTTGGGCATGTAACCGTCCTGGGGAATCAATCAGGCATATTATTTCTGGTTGTTCTCGTCTTGCTAACGGTGAATATTTGCACAGGCATAACCAGGTAGCCAGGATCGTATACCAATAGCTTGCCCTTAAATACCAACTTGTGAATCTAGAGGCGCCATACTACAGGTATGTGCCCGACTGAGTTCTCGAGAATAGTCGGGCCAAGTTGTATCGCGACCAACACTAGGGGCTCACGTTAGACGTCTGAATCAAGGGTCTGATGAAGGCAGTGAGGAAGTTCCTGTTTTTGGAGTCCTAACCACCGGTGTCTTGGTCCCTGAACCCGATGTCGGTGGTCCACTGTTTTTTATATTTTTAAATGTACTTTTTTTCTTTTGTAGTATATTTAAAAATGTAATTAATATGTTTATATAATTTAATAAAGAGAATAATACTAATATACGATATTAAACATTATTATTGTTGTTTTTTTATGAAGTCGTTAATTTAAGCACTACACCAATTATAAATATTTACGCGTTTTTTTTATTTTAATAAAATTAAATATGGGTATTTTATTTTAATGTGTAATTAGACTTTCCTTCCATTTTTTCACAAAAACGTGTACTATTTCATTAATTGTTCGGTAAAGCGTAAGTAAATGAGTTAGATATAAATACAATTGACTGCAGCTGTTAAGGTAAAGTTTAACTTTAAAATGTAGTTTTTACACGTGGACAATTTAATGGTACATACTTATGCCATAAATCCAGATCTCATTAAGTAATCGTTGATGCGGTCGTAAATAAAAAAGTAATAAATCGTTTATGCAAGTATGTATTTGTTAAATCAGATAACTTGTAAGTAACTTGACCGACACAGGTTATATTCGCACAATAACAAAACTCTTAAAGATCTTCTTACAGTTATTGTGCGAATTTAAAACGCCGCCGCCACGCCGCTTCCTATTACGCTGAGTGTTGTGAGTTCGATCCCCATATGGGATGACACTTTATGATATCCACAAATTATTGTTCTGAGTCTGGGTGTTCTTTCTATGTTTGTAAAGTCCCCCGCGACACAACATATATTCGGAAAAAAGAAAACATTTCCAACAAACATCTCCAAACTTTTCCGGTCGGGTAGGTGTAATCAGCTTTATTCTTCCATTCTCCTTAATCTATTAAATATTCCTTAGAAAGGTTAGCTACACCATCACCTGCCTACCTTTATCCCAATTTCATTTGGGGCCGGCGCAATATTTTTTATTCTTTCATTCTATTCTGTAATTCGTTATTTTACTCTTTACTCCCTTGCTAGCCATTTCCTCTATCCTACAGTCTATCCCCCGTTTCTTTGGCCTTCCTCTTTACTTGTACCCTTAAAGTTCCATACCTAACATTTTTCTCATGCTTCTGCATGACATGTCTTCTTAAATTTTCATCCAGTGGCGCTACTTTCAGACTCCCTCGTATATACTCATTCCTAACCTTGTCCATCCGAGCCACACCACACATCCATCTCAGCATAGGCATTTCGGCTACGTTCAGGCTTATCTCCTCCGTTCTCTTAATGGGCCAACTTTCAGAACCATACAGAATCCAAACCGCAGAACATGGACTCAGTTTAAGTTCTACGAATTTTCAAACCAAGATTCTCCTTTGTTGCGATTTTTCAAGTCTACTTTGGGCTTCAAATCAAATCAAATCAAGCTTTATTTGTTTAGAATGTAGGTAAAAATACAAATTAGATGTTGTGTAAGTTAAGTAAGTTCCTGGTACATTCTGCCATATGGCATACAAATCTTAAAATAATAATAATAAAAAAAAGAACAATCATTAAATAAAATTAGGATATTAAAACCTTTTACATATGTCAATAAAATTATAATGAGAAATCTTTGTTTGTCAAAAAAAATTACAAAAAATGTCATAAAAAATAAAACAATATAAAAAATTAGATTGCATCATTTAAATAATCCGTTAGACAGTAATAACATTTCTCCACCAGGAAGTCTGTCAACTTATTTTTAAATTGTTGAAGTGGTAAATTCTTCAATGCATCTGGTATTTTATTATATATTGTAGGCCCCATACACAATACACTTTTCCTTAGAAGTGCAGTTTTGTATCGGCCCGTCGATAACATGCCAGTGTATTGTGATCGTAGCGGTGCTGTTCGTTTTCTGCTGTCATTAAATAATGGAAACAAATGTCTGTTAAATTTAACAAACATTGCTATTTCCAAAATATATAAGCACGGAAAAGTTAATAATTTAAAATTCTTAAAAGCAGATACACAACTGTCCGTAGTTAATAAGCCCGCTATTGCTCTAATATAGCGTTTTTGAGATTTAAAAATCATATCTCTATCCGTGCAATTCCCCCAAAATATAATGCCGAATCTCAACACTGAGGAAACCATACCGTGATATGCTAATAGCAGTATGTGTGTGTTTACCTTTTTTGCAAGATGGAAGAGTGCATAAGCAGATTTATTTAATTTCTTGCATATGTTCTCTGCCTGCGGCTTCCATGAAAGCTGACTATCAACAAGAATACCCAAAAATCTTGCTACATTTACTTCCTGTATGTCTTGCCCATTACATTTAATGCAAAATTTGTCTATCATTCTGCGTTGGAAGAAATGCATTACTGTAGTTTTCTGTAAATTTATTACCAAATTATTTGCATTCAACCAATTTACTATTTTGTGTAATGTGTTGTTAATTTCCTGTTCATATGTATCCCTATCGTCACACGTAATTATTGCAGTACTGTCATCAGCAAAAAGAACCATTGGTTGTTGAATTTGGCGTGGAAGGTCATTGATATATATTTAAAATAATAAGGGTCCCAGGACACTTCCCTGTGGTACACCATAGACTGTGCTTTTATAATCAGACCTAAACTTTACTTCACGTTTACTTTTTTCGTTTATACGAATTATCTCTGTATACTGTCTACGATCACTTAAATATGATTTTATTAAATCTAAAACATTTCCTCTAATTCCATAAGCATTAAGTTTATCAATGAGAGTCTCATGTTTCACATAGTCAAATGCTTTAGACATATCAGTAAATATTGCACATACTGACGTCTTATTATAAACCTTAA